GCCACTCCTCGGAAGGAAGGTTGGGCAATCCTACTTCCGTAGTGATACTGCCTCGGAAACCCAAGGAGGGGGTCGCTATGAGTCGGGGCTGACTCGACCGCATACGAACAACAGCAAGGTCAGTGGAGACCTGCCCCTTCTGCGCTAGACTCCGCCTCTCCACCTTCTGCAGTCGAGGTCCAGGCCAGATGCCACCGCCCTTAAGGCCGCATGCGCAACGTGTGACCAGGTCTCTTTGCCCTTCTCCCAATGGCGGGCGGCGGTCCCCTTCCCGGCAGCCTCCCTGGGGTTGGCAGCATGTCATTTCCGGTGGGGAAGGCCCGCGGCCGCCGCCGCCATTTCGGGCACTGCTGTGAGACTGATCTCGGAGCCGGTCCGCTGGGCGGCGGGCGCCAGGGCTGGAGGGGCGCGCGCGGCGGCGGCGGCCCAGCGTGTAGGCGCGGAGGCGGCCATGGCGGGCAACTTCGACTCGGAGGAGCGGAGTAGCTGGTACTGGGGACGACTGAGCCGGCAGGAGGCGGTGGCGCTGTTGCAGGGCCAGCGGCACGGGGTGTTCCTGGTGCGGGACTCGAGCACCAGCCCCGGGGACTATGTGCTTAGCGTCTCCGAGAACTCGCGCGTCTCCCACTACATCATCAACAGCAGCGGCCCGCGCCCGCCGGTGCCGCCGTCGCCTGCCCAGCCTCCGCCCGGTGAGGGACACGGCACGGGAGGCCCGGGGCGGGGTGAGGGCCGTGGACCCCTCCAGCCTGGCCGGCTGCTCCTCGCGAGCTGACCCCCACCAGGGTCTTGGGCACAGGGCTTAAGTGATCGGGGCAATAAGCAGCCTACTGCCGGAGCTCGTTCCCACCGACGAGCGGGAGTGTGTGTGGGAGGAGGAGCGGCTGACAGAGGCCTCTGGGTGTGACTTGGAAGGACGGCCCAGGGGAAGGGGAACTGCTTCGGCCCCAGGGTGGGGCTAGCTCCCGGGCCAGGCTGCAAGGGCAGGGCCGGACGACGTGGGGACAAAGAGCTGAGGGGGATGTTGGCACTGCGGGGGGATCACTTGGCAGCGGTACTCAGAATGAATTCGATAATCCTACAAGTGGCTTTTAGGCTGGATACACTTCCTGCCGTCTTGGAGAGCAGGGCTTTGGCCATACTCCCCTGGTGGCCTTTGGTAGGAAGTCCCCCATACTGGCCGGAGGGATGGAGACACTCTCAGGAAACAGGTCAGCTTTTTCATTCCTTGGGCATTTTTCCAAAATTCCCTTACCATCCTCTTGCCCGGTGGAGGTCGAAGGTGATGAGCTAAGTGCCTTGGTGATAGAAGAAAACCCTCTAAGACCAGCTCAGAGCAATTTGATGCTTGGCTGACTGTGTCCAAGAAATCTTAGTGACTAGAGGACTGCCCTTCTCTGCAAGTAGGGGGTTCTAGTTTTCAAGGTGCTTAGTGAAGAAAGGATTTTTCAGAAAATAAACCCGTGATAAGACAGTGGAAAAAACTCCTTCCCTTAAAAGTAAATGGATTTCATTTTAACTTGAATTTAAACATCGTTAATCTTGCATTTTGGGGCCTCCTCTCCTTGCTCAGTAAGTTGGGGCTGTAGCCTGAGTCTTCACGGAAATTGGCAACAGAGGGGGCTGGGTCAGATTTTCTGAGAGTTTGAATTAATGCACTGGGTCTTCCTTACCTGTCATTGAGGTGTGGCTCTTTTAGTCATGTCATTGAAGTTGATGGTGAATATTAAGGAAATTTATGCACTTCATGTTTGAGAGTTGTGAGGTACAGAGTAATTGTGAGGGTATCATTTCTATAACAAGACCAAGAGTCCTAATGCCTTCTCATTGTTCCCAAGTTGGTTTCCTCCTGACCAGCTGAGACTAGATCCAGCTAAGTCTCTTATGAATTTGGAGGCTCCTGACCCAGCCTTTGCAGACTTGCCCCTTTAGGATAGGCCTAGCTTACCTTGACTTTGGCCAGAAATGGGGAGACAGGATAGGCAATCTCTTTGTTATTAACACATAGCCAAATTTTGTAAAAAGTGAGTATGTGGTCTTTAAGTCCCTTACTTATCTTAGGTCTTTCAAAGTCAGGTTGATTTAATGGCATTATTAAGTGAGATGGGAATATTATGTACCATATGTTTTCTCTAAACTAGATACATTCTACTTTGATGCCACCTGCGTGGTAGCTAAGGTTTTGTATCATATACAATGAGGTGGTGGCAAACTGTCATTGAAATTCAGTTCTTAACCTTTTGTTTGTGTGTACCTTTTATGGGTTGCAAAATTTGGAAATGGCAGTAGGCTTTTTGAAATTTGTGTTTGAAATTTCCTCACACCTTGGTATTACAATTTTATTTCTTAGTGCTTACCTTGCTGTAGAACTCCACCTTTTCAAAACAGATAAGAGTTTAAATCCTTGGCCTAGGGGAGAAGGTGAAGATTGCCAAAGTTTGTAGATGGGGTGTGGGAAGTTCATAGGCATTGTGGTAGTGCTTCTTTCTGCACTGTACTCATTCAGTCCCTGTCTTTATAAAGATTACCTCATCTCTGTTCTCCTCTCCATCAAGCTCTTTTTCTTTTGAAACCGTGCAGAGGAATTTTTTAAATTTTAGAGATACATACAAAATTAATAGCTAACATATTGACTGCTTACTCTATGCCAGGTACTTTGCTGAGTACATTATGTGCATTATCTCATTTGTCTTCTATAACAGTCCAGTGAGGTAAGTACTGTTACCTCCATTTATTAAAATATTTCCATTTTATAGAAGAGGAGACAGAGTCACAGATTCAGTAACTTGCCCAAAGTCACACAGCTAGTCAGTGACTGAACCAAACTTTGAATCTAGGCATTCTGGCGTGAGAGCTGACACTGTTATACTGTGTTCCTTTCTGTCACAGCCAGCTTCCTTTTGGAATCTCAGCAGTGCACTATCTTCAACACTTTTGTCTTTGCTCTAGAGTTTCTGGTTCTGTTTAAAGACCAAAAGGAAAGGATGGCAAAACAAAAACTGGCTTTAGCCATTACACATCTGCTATCTGATTTGGCAAATTGATATGAAAAATGAGCTTTTTGTTTAGGATTACATAATATGTTTTGATCACATAATACATAGAATTTATAAGGAATGACTTAACTGCAGGTTATAGAGACATGGTGATAGATTAGGCCGCATTCTCAACCTTTTCTAGTGAACCTATTTTTAACGTAAGTCTTCAGCTCTTACAAGCTGCCTGTACTGCTGTTGCTTAGGAGTGCCCTAGGGCTATCGAATAGGGTTTGATCAAGTCTGGCCATATTGGGTCATGTTGCACTTCATAGTGGACGTCTTGGGTCCTACAATAATTAACCCCTGGCTTTTCCCTCTTGGAACAATGAGGGACTACTAGACCTTGACCAGTATCCTGTCAGCAAAACTGAATCAGTGTGAGTTAGGAGAGTATGAGCTTGAACTCTGGAGCTTGTGTTTGAATCTTAGTTATCTGCCACTTACTAATTACATATTTTGGGCAAGTTATTTAACTTCTCTGCCTCAATTTCCTAATCTGTGAAAGAAGAAAATAATACTGACCTCATAGGGTTGTTGTGAGCGTTAAAAGAGTTTAAGCATCTCAAATGCCTAGAAATGGGGCCAGTATATAGTAAATACCAAGCCAAAAAAAAAACCAAACTGACTGTCATTAGGTCGATTGCGACTCATAACGACCCCACCTTGGGTTTCCAAGGCAGCATCTCTATGGAATTAGATTTCCCATCTTCCTTCCGGGGAGTGGCTGGTGGGTTTGAACCGCTGGCCCTCTGGTTAGCAGTCAAATGCCTTAGGCACTATGCCACCAGAGCTTCCATACAGTAAATACTTGATACATATTAGATATATTAATCTTATGAACAGACCTAGAGGTAAGGGAGAGTTGAATCTAAATGGAAAACCACTCTCAGTTTTGAGGAGTTCATACTCATGGAAGGGTATGTCTTAAAGGTTATTGCTGAAGTAGAAGAGGTGAGGTGTATCAAGAAGTGTCAAAAGGACCTTGGTGGGTCCAATCCAGGAAAATAGGATAGCACTTGCTGTTACTGCTCAATCCAAGGCTATGTAGTGCCTCAGTAAACTTGCCTCATTTGGAAAGTAGGGAGTGCAGAAGCTAGGGTAGTAATTGTTTGCAGTGCGTCCTCTAGGTTTTGCTGGACCAGGTCACTTTTCTGGAGATACCGTGAGACTGCTGCTACCTCTCTGCACCTTCTGTTTCTGTATTACATTTGTTTACCTCATCTCCTCAGTTCACAAACCTCATCCTCATGTTTTACTTGTCCTCTTTGTACTTTCTCTTCAGTGTCAATATCCTTCCATCCAGTGCTTCTGGAAAAGTTCTTCTCTGAATTACTTAATGGATTTTATACCCTTTCCCCAAAAAATGTAATTGAATGGTAAAAGGAATAGACTTATTTACTGCAGGACTTCTGTAGGCCTTTATTGTGCTCATGTGAATTATGGCCCTCCAAGAGTAGCAGGTGTTGGATGAAAGGCTTTCACATCTTTTTGACTAGGGCTTTGGAGAATCATCTTGAGGTTCTGTGGAATCTTCTCTGGGAAAGTGTGGCAGACTCTTGATTATGGGGTGAAAATTTCTAAAATAATTCAGAGGTTTGAGGGACCTATTAAGCTGAAGCTTTTTTTTTTTGAGCACCAGTAATGTGCCAGTCACTTTTAGGAATTTGATTAGATAGGTGTTTGGCCCAGTTAAAAATGAGGGCCTGAGGCACAGAGAGGTTAAATAATTGCTCATATAGCTAGTAAGTGGCAGAACCATAATTCATCAGATCCAGTCAGTCTGAATCTGCAAAGTACCATGCTGTTACCATTTTTAGAAAGTTCTATTTGCTTAAGAGACCTTGCATCTCCATACCTCTGTAGGATTCTTTCTCAGAAGGAAGCCAGCAGCTTTTCAGCCTTTTGTATTGGACAGGTGGTGAGGGGTGTGTATCTAGGCAACATCTATAAATGCCTTGCGCAGGGTAGAAGGAAGCGAAGGAGTAGGAATTAAGGAAAGAGAAAAAGGGAAATGCAGTGAGATCTAAGAGAGGTTGATGATGGAGCTGCTTGTGTTGGTACCCATGCGGAAGTGATCAGTCCTGTTTTAGCCCACAGAGCTCTCGGTGTTCTTAAAGGCTTCAGGGAGCAGCGTTCTAAAAAATGAGGGCTGAAATGCTTAGAAGTAATGACTTGAGCAGGTACATAAAAACAAGAATACCCGACTGCTTATATTGATTTTGGTTTCTGGGTGTGATAATTCAGAGCTGCACATACAGAATGCAGCACAGGTTTGATGTAGAACAAGTCAGTGAGGTTTTCTGAGCCCCAGACAGCTATGAGAACCCTGTTGTTGGTTGTTCTCTAGCCTGACTGACTGTATCTCCTTCCTTTCCCGCCCTTCTATTTCCTGCCTTTGGCTGTTTGTGGTTGGAAGGAGATGAACAAGGGAAAAGGAGCCGGAACACATAGCTGTGGTGAGGTTTGGGCTTATCTGGGACTTTTGTATGTTCTGTTCCCCTCTCTTCTTCTGGAAGTTGGATCAAATGATGCCTGGTTGTCCCTTATGTCTAACAGACCCAGCACTATTATTACAGTGTCATTAGAATAGAAAAATAATTTATACACAAAGCATGTCAGAGTTTCTTTTGGTGTTTGGTTTATATTTATTTCTGTGTTGGGATTGCTGAGCAAAAAGAAAAAAAAAAAAAAAAACTGGGTCCAGTTTGTGCTTTGTGGCATTTGAATGAGAAATGAGTTGAACCAACTTCCTACCTTTGTGCTAGATGAGCCAATTTTTCTCTTCAGAATTCTTTTGCTGATCTTTCTAAAGGACTTAGCTAGTTGTCTTATTTGTTCTTTTAAACCTCCTCCCTGTCTCTGCCCCCAAAAACATTTCACTGGGGTAGTTTTGTAATGGAGGAACCATAACAATGGATGACAGGGAGTGGCTGCCTTCCTCCTTAGAGTAGCTTGAAAATGTTTTGGGATGGTTGTTTTTGTTGTTGTTATGTGCTGTCTAGTCCTACCTGACTCATAGCCACCCTTCCTTGGGTTTCCGAGGCAGTATCACTACGGAAGTAGATTGCCCCATCTTCCTTCCGAGGAGTGGCTGGTGGGTTTGAATCACCAGCCTTCTGGTTGGCAGTCAAGTGCCTTAGGTACTACGCCACCAGAGCTCCTAGGGATGGTTAGATCTGCTCTTTTGGTGTGATTTTGTTCTATCTCAGTATACTGTTGTCGCTGCTGTTTTTTTGTAGGAACACATCTCCAATTGAAAGTGAAAACCAGAAAAAAACTGTCTTCTTAGCACATACTGCTTTGCTCCTTGCTTACCAATCGTGCTCTGTGTGCCTTCATATCCCCAGCTATGCTGTGAGCTTCCCAAAGCTGGAGATTTCATCTTGCTTTTCCCTCACTTCAGAGTTCTGTTCATTAATCTCTAACACTTAATGAGCACTGTATGTCTGCCAGCCACTATCCCAGAGGGAGCGACAGTAAAAACCATGTTGGGTAAATCCCCCCAGGCGTGATTAAGACCATTTTCTAAGCCATAGGTGTTCTGCTTGTGTGACACAGGTTTATCACTCTGTCCTGGGGCCTTTCTTGACCTGACAATGTTAAGTAGGTCTCCTTGGGGTTCCCACTATGTCCTTAATATAGTTGCTTGGCTTGAAGGCTCCTCCTGAATTAGCCTGCTGGTGACGAGCAAGGTGGCTATGTATCTCCTCCATGCCGACCACATTTGAATAGGAATGATATCCTATCTGATCCACCTCAGTGAAGAGAGAAACTCCAGAATATAGTATCATCAAAGTCATAACCAAAGTCATCTCTTCAGTCTTTTACACTTGGAACAATTGAGGTCATTTTCTGCTGCTACCTGATGAGTGTAGCGTTGTCCATTTTCTCTTAACAAAGGACTGAAACAAGTAACTTTCGTGAAAGAAGTGCAGATAGTCGATAAACATGAAAAACATGTAAACAATCAAATAAATGGTATTTAAGAAGCCGTAACATTTCCTCCTTATTAAACTGGCAATGGTTTAAAAATGCCATTTTGGCAGGGTAATAGGGGAAATGGGAACTCATGAAACACTGGTGAGTATAAAGTTGTACATACTTTTTGGAGGGCAGTTTGGCTATATCACCTCTAATGTTCTTACCCTTTGGTCCAGCAGTTGCTTTTCAAGGAGTTTGTCCTAAGGAAGTAACCAAAATATGTTCATTAATAGATAAGAACAGGAATGCTCACAATAGCATCAATTACAACAGTGAAAAATTGAGAATGCTTTATAGTCAGTAAAAGTCATATTCTTGAAGAAAATTTAAATATGTGGGGAAAATTTTATTTTGTAATATAAAAAAAAATTGTTTTATGATAGGAAAAAAGATAGGATATAAAACTACATAATAATAACCCAGTTACAAAAGACATGTGTATATATTTAGGGTACAACCCAAAAATGCTAAGAGTGGTCCTATGGTAGGTTAGTGGTAATAATAATAATAATAATAATAATAAACAACCACAAACAAATTTATTAGGAAAACAGAAAGGGGGAGGCAGTGTCCAGTGAAGATGGTTTGCTATTTTGGATGCTTAACAAAGTGTAAGTTGAAGGCTTATGTTCCTCATTAAGACTTTTTTTTCTTAATGTGCATTATTATTGTCCTTAAATTCTAGAATCTCAGGATAGACTTTGAAGTATGCCTCTGTGTTCAGGGTCATAACACATTTTTCTATCATATTAATTTTAAGGATTCCTAATATTTTAAGGATTCCTTTTGGACCCTCAGATTCAGTATTTCAGCTTTTCTTTATCTTTCCAAGTATTCGTGTTTACCCATTTTTATGACCTGTTTCCTTTTTAGAGGACAATCTGATTTTCATGTTTCATTTACGCAAAGGCTCTAGCAATTATAAGCAGTTATTTAGCAGTTGATTTCTTAGTTTATCTTTTTAAAAAAACTCCTTGATTCTTTTGCCTCAAGATTTTTTAGCTGTCAGAAATTAAATAGAGATCAACAATCTTAGGTTAAAAAGAGTCTTAAACTGATTTTCTTCTTTGTAATTGCTCATTCTAGATGTGATCTGAATGACTGTAGATACCTAGTAGAGATTCCAAGCTCTCCTCCCTCTTCCTGGAATAGTTGCTGGGACCTATTAAAAAGAGAGCTTGCTACATTTCATGCCTTTGAAAAGAAGATTGCAACAAAACCTCGGGCCCTGTGATACTCTGTGAATGAGATAGCAACAGAGCATACTGGGAGATTGAACAGTTGCGCTGACTATGAGCCAATGGGGAGGCATGGCCTGACTGGCCTGATATACCACTAGGCCTTCCGTTTCTTCTCTGGGGTGGGTGGTGATGGGCATCTTTCTTCCCAGAGGATGTTTCATTTAGAAAATATGGTGTTTCAGTTTGATAAAAGGAGACTGGATTTTATTTTCTAGTCAATTTTTTGGGGGGAGGGGGCGGGAGGAGGACACGTTGATTAAATATGAACTAAAATGTATGTGGAAATACTTGAAATCTGTATTTCCTCTTCAGTATAGTACATCTTTAAATAATACTCTGCTCTGTTTTTTCCAGGGGTGAGCCCCTCCAGACTCCGAATAGGAGATCAAGAGTTTGATTCATTGCCTGCTTTACTGGAATTCTACAAAATACACTATTTGGACACTACAACGTTGATAGAACCAGTTTCCAGATCCAGGCAGGGTAGTGGAGTGATTCTCAGGCAGGAGGAGGCAGAGTATGTGCGAGCCCTCTTTGACTTTAATGGGAATGATGAAGAAGATCTTCCCTTTAAGAAAGGAGACATCCTGAGAATCCGGGATAAGCCTGAAGAGCAGTGGTGGAATGCGGAGGACAGCGAAGGCAAGAGGGGGATGATTCCAGTCCCTTACGTCGAGAAGTATAGACCTGCCTCCGCCTCAGTATCGGCTCTGATTGGAGGTAACCAGGAGGGTTCCCACCCACAGCCACTGGGTGGGCCGGAGCCCGGGCCCTATGCCCAACCCAGCGTCAACACTCCGCTCCCTAACCTCCAGAATGGGCCCATTTATGCCAGGGTTATCCAGAAGCGAGTCCCTAATGCCTACGACAAGACAGCCTTGGCTTTGGAGGTACATAATGTGCAAAATGTAGAAAGAAGAGATCTGCTGCAGGGTCTCCCTTTCAGACCTCTTAGAGCTTTGTAGGAATGCTGAAACAAGCAACAGCACTATGATGATGTTGTAGATGTTGAACTGATTTTGGCATTAAATGTTGGGTTTTATCTTTTTTATGTGCAAGCCTATTTTAGAATAAGTAAGCTTAAAACTGTATAACTGAATGTTCTGATTGACCTCCTACTAAACATACTTTGACTAATAACACTACCTGAATTCACCAGAATTAACCCAAAATATTTTTTCTCATCTACATCCTAATCTATTACTGTCTTTTTAATTTGTCATTGTCTGAAAGAAGGTTGGTTCACACAAATTTGGGTGTAATAAGTGGTTTTTCTCAAAACATTGAAATAAAATTTTCTCACAGAAACAATGTTTTTACTTTAGAGGGCAAAAGATTCCTTACTATTAATTGCATTAGGTAAGAATTCAAGAGTAAACAGGCAGATATTAAGAGAGCCATATCCAAAATTTTAAGAAGAAACAGATTTACTTGGTCTTTGTTGTTTTATTCATTTTATAGGCAAGAAGCCAGCTGCTCCTGAGGAATTAAGTTTTGCCTTTTACTGGTTAATAGTTATCCTTGGTGGTAAATCTTCTGGTTAAGCACATTGTGTTTATTCCTTTAGTGCTCATGCCTTCTTTCCTTTTTTCTTTCTCTTCCTTCTTTGCTTCCTATTTCCTTGAGTTGTTTAGAGTTACTGGTTAAGCATGAAAGCTAGAAGAGAAGTGGCACATTAACTCATTTCAGGGCCTACTGATGTGGTGACTTGAGTGTAAACAAGTACCTACCTAGCCATAAAAGCATAGGCTACAGTTATGTGAACACTTATTATCAGAGAAGGGACAAAAATGTATTCTTGCAAGCTAAAATGTTCTCTAAACTTTGTTTGCATTAGGTCATGTTCATACACTGAAGAGTAGGAGCTGCCCTCTAATTGGAAGTGTTAGCCCACAGAATGAGTTAGAGTTTGTTTAAAGAAATTTCTAATATTACTAAATTTGACATTTTTTTCTTAGGTTCTGTTCTAGAGGATATAAAAGAGAGTTGAGTCTTACAGGTTGTAAGACTGAAGAAATGTGTGTTTTTAACATTTGTATTTTTTGAGATCATTTTGTGACTTAAAAGTGTCATTTTCCTGCTTTGATGAATTAATCAGCTGTTGTCTAGGTCACACCACTTATTTTTTCCCACTGAGAGTCTAGAGGATAAAAACGACCGAAGTTTCTAGCCTCATGTTTTCATTTAAGTTTAGATGGTCTTAGCCCCACACCTGGAGCTGTGCACATGATGGATGTGACTCTGGATGCATCGCAGACCTTGTTGGCACTGGGCTGGGATATGAAAGTGGCAGTCATGAAACAAGCCAGTTAACACCAGGAAAGAATAGTTGTCACATTAATTTTGCTTCCATTTGCATTTTCTTTCTTTCGTTTTTATTCTTCCCCGCCCCATCTGCCTAACCTGTATGTGGTCATGGGTGTAGTCCAGTTTGCCTACCCATACCTGACCATCTTGCCTGTCCATCTGTGTATCCACTCGTAGGTTAATATTTGTTATTACTGATAGTGCAGTGTTGTGTATGTAGTACTGTTTACCTTTGTTGTTTATAACTCTCGTGCATCTCTCATTGTCTTCCTCCTGGGAATTCTTAGAACACTGAGGAGCAGTCTGCAAATTCTTGTTGAATATATCCATGGTCCTTTGCAATTCTAAAATTGGCACAGCATCACTAAGAAAAAGGAAGAAAACTGTTTTTAATGATGCCTGTCTTGATTAGAAGCTTCATTGCTCAAAATTGGTTGAGCTTTTCTCCCTGCTGTGAAATAAAGATTTAAGTAGAAAACTAGTTTATGATTTCCACAGATTTTCTTTTTTGGTTTGCATAATTGGTTTTAAGACACATATGTTTATTGCTGAAGACGGTGTCTCGCAATTTAGAGCAAATGCCCCAAGTGATAGCTTTAAAACAATTTTTCTTATGTACTTAAAAAAAAACAGTATTAATTTAGCATCATAGAATTCAAGAGTTGGAAAGGACATGTTAGATATTCTTATCTGGTATATGAGAAGAAATCTCATATTTAGAGAGGTTTGAATGAGTTGTCCAAACCAGTTGAAAGTGGAGCTGTGATGCCCTTTTTACCATACCGAATCCAATCTGTGTTGCCTTTTGTTTTACATCAGAGCTGTTGCTCTCTTCAATACAGGTGTTATATGGCTTGATTGGCAGCATATCCTCAGTTGTACTGTTTGTGTAAGCAGCCACAGCACTCCCTTCCTATCTCTGGTTTTTCAAAGGAGCTGATCCCTGGTCCCTGTTACATGAGGCTGGGAAGTAAGATTAGGAGATACTTACTTTTCTGACCTTAGCATTCTGGTGAGAAAGATACGTATTGTCATTTAAATGAGAAGCATGGTTTGACTGGCTATATAAATACAGATGTGTATACCAGGTAGGTACATTTTAACAGAGTGTTGATCAATTAGAATTGTTGAATTTTAGAATTAGAATTGGATAGTAACTTGGTTATATTTTACCAGCAATTTTCAGATTGCTTCTCAGTGTCCCAAGAGTTCCCAGGAAATACCTAGAAAGAGGGAGAAGCTAAGTATACAAGGCTGTGGTTTCCCTTTCTTGCTTCAACTTAAAGCAGGTCTGCCTTTAACTATGTTATATATTGGGATCTCTGTAAGATTTTCTTTGAAGAAAAGGTTTCTGTGCTTTTAAAAAATAAGCTTAAAAGAACCAGTGTTCAAAAAACTGCTTCCCCTCATCTTATGCTTAGATGTTTCCTGGATGATATATTTGCTGTGATCAGAGTCTCACTAGAATATAAGTTATTAGCTATTTCCTCTTTTCCCACCCACCAGATTTCTCTAGTAGAGGTGAAGGCTGTAAGGGACTAATTCTAGCTAATAACCAAAGTAGAGGTATTCTTCAACCTACGGTAGTTCTGTGGGTCAATTAGTCAGCCATAATTTTGGAGAATATGACATTGAACAACATAGACACCATCTGTTCTATCTTAGAGCTCCTGATGAAAACAGACATTAAACAAATGCAGATATGCTGAATGTTTTGAATTAGAAATGCTGGAAGTAATATTAGAACCAGTGCAGAGGCACATACCATTTTTTGATCTTTAATTCCAACTTTTTGTTTAGTGGCTCCTTGGTAGTTGCTATAGTGATATGTCTTGTAAAATTTTGGGTATTAACGTTTATTTTATGCCTCTATAGACTATTCAAGGAGCTCTGGTGGCATAGTGCCTAAGGTATTTGACTGCTAACCAGAAGGCTAGTGGTTCAAACCCACCAGCCACTCCTCAGAAGGAAGACTGGGCAGTCTACTTTGGAAACCCAAGGAGGGGTGGCTTTGAGTCGGAAATGACTCAGTGGCAGTGAGTTCAGTTTTTTGGTTTTAGATAGACTATTCAGAAGGCGCTATGGTGGCACAGTGGTTAAAGCGTTGGGCTGCTAACCAAATGGTCGGTGATTCCAACCTACCAGCCGCTCCAGGGGAGAAAGATGAAACAATCTGTTTCCGTCAAGATTTACAGCCTTGGAAACCCCATAAGACAGTTCTTTATCCTGTAGGGTTGCTGTAAGTCAGAATCAGCTGGATGGCAGTGGATTGGGTTTGGTTTAGACTATCTAGAACAGTCACATTATCTTTAACTTTTATTTTTTAAAATTTTTTGCAGTGTTTCCTTCCCTACCCTTCCACCCTGGTAATGAACAAAGAGTTTCCTTCCATACATAAACCTTTCCTTGACTTTTTACAATAATGAACTAATACAATATTTGTCCTTCTGTGATTGACTTATTTCACTCAGCATAATGTCCTCCAAGTTCATCCATGTTAAGTGGTGTTTTACAGGTTCTACATTATTCTTTAGTGTTACGTAGTACTCCACTGTGTGGGCACCTAGGTTGTTTCCATCTTTTTGCTATTGTAAATAGTGCTGTGATGAACATGGGTGTGCATATATCTGTTCTTGTCCTCGTTCTCACTTCTTTAGGATATATACCTAGTAATGGGATTGCTGGATCAAATGGTATTTCTAATTCCAACTTTTTAAGGAATCACCATGCTGCTTTCCACAGTGGTTATATCATTTTACAGTCCTACCAGCATTGTATGAGAGTCCCAGTCTCTGCACATCCTCGCCAGCATTTGTTATTTTCTGTCTTGTTATATTTTGCTGTTAGTGGTGGGGCCACATGGTATCTCACTGTTGTTTTGATTTGCATCTCTCTAATGGCTAATGATCATGAACATTTCTTCATGTGTTTGCTGGCCCCCTGAATATCCTGTTTGGTGAAGTATCTATTCATGTCTTCTGCCCATTTTTTAACTGGATTGTTTGTCTTTTTGTTGTTGAGGTATTAGAGTTTTCTGTAAATTTTAGAGATAAGTCCCTTGTCAGATATATTGTTGCCTAATATTTTTTTCTAACCTGTAGGTTCTCTTTTTAGTGTTTTGGAGAAGTCTTTTGAAGCACATACAAATTTAATTTTTAGAAGATCCCATTCATCTAGTTTATCTTCTGTTGTTTGTGCATTTTGGGTTATGCTTGATAGTCTGTTTACGCCATAAATTAGGGCCCCTAAATTTGCCCCTATTTGTCCTTGAGGAACTTCAGTTTCATATTTAAGTCTTTGATCCATCTGGATTTAGTTTTGGTGTATGGTGTGAGGTATGAATCTTGTCTCATTTATCTGCAAATGGATATCCAGTTTTGCCAGCACCATTTGTTAAAGAAACAATTTCTTCACCATATAATGGATTTCAGCCCTTTGTAAAAAAATCAGCTGACCACAGGTCAGTGGATCCATTTCTGGGTTCTCAATTAGGACAGTGAAATTTTCTCTAAATGTGCTAATGATGTAACCTTCCACTCTCTGATTCAGCCTGGCCTTTTGCTTTTGGTAGATGAGAGCACTT